ACTCTATCAACCTAGGCAGATATTCTCATTCCAGGTCAAAGCAGAAATAACAGGAATTTGATCAGGATTCAAGTCATTCAATCATTCAAACCTCAATCGAATATAATCAATTCACAAACACTGTACTTGGGTTCATACAATCAGACCTAGCATACAAATCTAGGGTTCTCCATACCCAGATGAATGGGGAAACTACTCCATAGAGAAAGAAGCAAAAGCAGATTCAGACACGGAAATCATACTGTGAAGTTGGATTCCTGCTTCTGGACGTTTAATCGCACTTCTCCAAGCTCAAGACGGGCTCCAATGGTGTTGAAGATCGATCTATGGCGCTTGAGAACTCTGGTTCGACGCTTTCTCTCTCTAGGTATCGGTTTCTCTCTCAAAAAACTCGGAACCCTTCAATGTTGCTTCTTCCCTTAAATCCTCTGCCTGGTCGCGATACCCGGTCAGAATACCCGGTCGGGTATTTTGGGTTTCGACCGGGTATCTCTGCAGCGCACCGTTTCACTAAAGGGGGAAATCCCCGGTCCAACACCAAAATCCCCGACCGGGGATTTAACTGCTGTGCCCGGGCCCCTCTCTGCTTCTCGGGCGCCCAAAATTGGTTAATACCCGGTCGGGTATTTGGCCACCTGACCGGGTATTTTCCTCCTTCAGCCCTATTCGTCCCAACCTTGCTCCTTTCGACCCAGAACTCGTTTCTCCGCCTCGATTCCAACGCCGGGACCTGAAATATGACATAAACACACAACCTAGCGTGAAATCGGCTTAAAACACGAGATTCCTCGTCACAAACGGCCTCAGAATAGGGGTAAAAACATGTATAATTATCGGTCTATCAAACTCCCCCACACTTAACCGTTTGCTTGTCCCCAAGAAAACCAAGTCAGACACTAGGTAAGCTTACATATTTCAATCAACCAACACTGGGGACAAGTCAAAGGCACAAAACACGTGAATCGCACTGGTTTTCAAACATCAATACATGCACAACCTAATAACAACCTGGACAACCACCACAAAGGACATTCGAGTGCAGCAAATCGAGTAAAGGAAGAGTCTCCCTGTTCACTAGCCAACCTAGACTTGATTCAACCACTTACTCAAAACAGTCAATTCATGCATCCAACTCAAGACATCAGAATAGAGACCGAGCAATCTAGGTCCTCACCGGGGTACAAGAGCATATAGAAAATGAAAATGAATCACTCACTCTCGACCAGTGGGGTCAAGACAATTTTGATGCGAAAGATGCGCATGCTATTTCTCTCAATCCCTATCATCTCTTCACCATGATGGCAGCCTCTAAATGCTAGAGTTCACATATGGGGTGTCACCACTAACTAATCAGGAGGTCTTAGACACAGGTTCAAATGACTGGCTAGGGTCTTGGACATGGGGAAAAGGCCTTTTAGGTGGTGGAAGTATTCATAGCAAAAAGGTTCCACATTTTCCAAACACACAATCACAGTCAACCAACCCGGTATTTTCTTTCTGCTATTCTGCATTCCTCAATATCTTAAGAGCACAAGAGCGAAGGAGGCATAAACATCAGCATTTCCAAGCCAGACTGCTAAGAAACACTGCTTACTGGGCATTACTCAGATTTTTGGTGGTGGCTCTCTTTTGCTTTGTTTTTCTTTCATTTTTCTTTTCATTTCTTAAGAGAGCCCCCACTTCTGCATAAATTTCAAACACCTGCCCAATTTTTAAGCACTACCTCCAACACTCACATAGACTTTAGCAGAAACAGCAGAGAATATATAAAACCACTCTGTGGAACCTTCTAAAAGATGCAACAAGGGTGATTTTTTTCATTATAGACCAAAAGAAAGGACAACACACGGCTCAAAGGGGCTGACTAGGGGATATGACACATCAGGACAGTCAGTTTTGGGCGTGGGCTAATCCTATGCCCCCATCATCTTAGCTAGTGACAACGTGAATGCTACACATCATGGAAGAGGGATCTATCGCACAAGAAAGAAACGAGCAGGCTCAAATCTCACATGGCTACCTATATGCTCTATCTCACATTCTGATACCCTGAACTAGATGCATAAACGACTGTCAAGGACAAGTAATCAGATCAAGTCAGATCAAGTCACAGTTGGCACGCAAACAGTTGAAAAACTGAACCCCTACATCGTTCTACTGCACATCTCAGTCCTCATCATAGGTTGTCCTAGTCGCAAACAAGTTGTCATGCATTAATCCGAAAACCAATCAATTCATCCATCAAAACACAGTGCCAATATGATCAAACAGCAGTACTTGGAGCCCTCAAATCGTAAGATTTGGACAGTGGACTAGGCTCCAAGCACCAAAACAGAGCTAATGCAGTCAAAAGATAAACATCCCCCCACACTGAAGATCGACATTGCCCTCAATGGAGCAAGAGGGAAGGAAAGGGGAACGATGTTACCGGTGTGCACAGACTGCAGGAGACTGGAAATGGACCAGTCGGCATGGGACGGACTGGAGAGAGGACCAGTCGGGAACAAAGGCAGAGCTAAAAGAGACCAAAAAGCTCAAACACATACGTTAGGTCCAACGGTCAGCCCAATAGTACAGAATCCAGAATGAAAAGAAACAAAAACCGACACAAAACAGACAGTTTGCATGCGGAAACAGATAAAAATCTCAAAACAAGCCCCTAGGGCCCTCCGAGACCGGAGAAATCAATCTGATCCATAAGGTCGTCGACGCCATCATCCGGTGGCTGCCGTGGCGGTGAATGCTCCCACCGGGTGGTCCAGTGGTGCTCCTCTGGAGGGTGGCAAGCCTGGAGCAGATGCTCGGAATACTCCATCAGACGGCGGCCTCGATCTCTCTCCCGCTCGATGAGAGCAGAAGTGTGGCCCATGCTAGTCTCCAATCGGCCTAGGCGCTCATCAACGCCCGTCATCCTGGACCGGAACTCGGCCTGGTGGGCCGAGTACTGCTGGTAAAACTGGACCTGATGGTCCATGAGCTGCTGGTTCTGAAGACCGAGCTGCTGGAACTGGAGCCCCATCTGCTGGAACTGCTCCGTGAAGAAGTCCATCGACGGACCAGAAGGACCAGAGGAGGACTCGCCTCTCTCCGGTCTCCGTCGGGGCTGAAGATCCCCAGGAGGGGAGAGCGGGGGCTCCGGCTCATCGGCATCCATGGCGCCGTCATCATCATCATCGGCGTCCTCATCGACCTCCTCGCCTTCGTAGTCATCATCCTCCTCGTCCTCGTCAAGGTCCACAACCTCCTCGGGGGGCATAGAAAGCCCATCTACCCAGGTGTGGATGCCGTCAGTGGCCAGGAGTCGTGCACTGTGGAGCACGTCCCGGCTGAGGGGGGCGGAGCCGCCATGCTCGGTCGCATCATGAAGCCCCTCGAAGCTGATCCCGAAGTGGCGGGCCAGCCGGGTGATCAGAGGACCGCAGAAGAGGTGAGTGGGATTCCCGTGGACTCTGGAGAAGGTGGTGGCCACGAGAGATCCCAAGTGGAGCATGTCCTCCGGATCCCCCATACAGGACATGGCGTAGAGGACCCGCTTCGGGACCTTGTGCGAGCCGGTGGCGTTGGGGACGATGGAGCGGGTGATCAGCAGGTTCAGAATATGCCACGCCGGCCGGAGAGTGCTGACGTAGGTCTGGCCAGCCACAAATAAGTCATCCCATCGGCGGCCCGGACGACACGCCTGTAGAAATGATCCGCGTGCCAGTCGGGCGGGTTCGGGAGCTCGACCGTGTGGCCATCCAACGGGTTGTACTGGATCCCCAATGCGGAGGCCAACCCGTCAATGGTCAGCTGTCGTGGGCGGCCACCCAACCGGAACTTCACACATGGGAGTCCCGAGTCTTCTTCTTGTGTACTCGAACGTGGTGTAGAACTCCCACACCAGCTCCGTAAAGGTGGGCTCGTCAATGGCAAGCAGTGTCCGCCAATCGGGGTGACTGATGGCGGTGCTAAGCTCCTGCAAGCAGTGGAGCTGCTCGAACACTGCCCACTCGAGGTGGTGGTGCTTCTCCAGCTTCCCCCGGATCACCTTGCGGAACTGGTCCGCATACTCCCCGTGCAGGCGCAAGCCCTGCACAAAAGCATGATCGAGGGACATGATCCTGCACAAACAACAAGCCAAAGGTGGAGCCAAGAAAATACAATGTCAGGACCAACGGCATGGGGTGAGCATTCCCCCACACTCAGGCTCACCTAGGCTAACAATTTAAGCACGCGGATTGAATTGCGAGCAACTCAACCGGAATTCAAGGCAGAATCACGAAAGAAACCACAATAAGCAGGTCGTTTGCTTGTGGGATTTGGGTGATGGATTTGGAACTCAAATCCCAAGCATCATGGAGTTGACACAAATCCTTTGTTTGTTGAGGGACACAAATCCGTGGGGTCTACGGATTTGGACCCATTTTTTAAATCCAAATCCGTGGACCCCACGGATTTGTAAATCCCACATTTCATTTGGGATTTGACAATAGAAGGAACAAATGTGAGACAAATCCATCACAAATCTATGATAAAAAATCAACTAAACAAACAATGTACTCTTCCAAATCCATGATGCAACAAATCCATCATAAATCCAAAGGTTTTTAAAACTCAAAACCTTCATTTTCAAATCCAACAAGCAAACGAGCCGTTAATTATTAAAAAGAAATTCGATGTATCAAAAGAGAAGCAAAACTAACTATCCGTATTTTGCATTTCGTATTATGACTATTAAACGAATAAAATTAAATGGGATGATTAGATTGTTGCACGATGGGCCAGCAACCCAACTGGCTAAGGTGCCAGTGATATGGCGCCCCAGAATCTGGGGATAAGTGTTTGAAACCCGGTTTGTCGTTTTGCTTCAGAGAAGGGGAAAGGTTAGTTTGGTAAATACTCAAAAACACGGTGGCAAGGGTGGTAATTTGAGAGAAATCCTAGGGGTAATCTCGTCCTTTTGTCAGCCGAGGTATATAAACCTCTCAAACGAAACCCTAATCCTATTCTACCTAGCGGCGGCCGCTCCTCCCTCTCACCTTCGCCAAAGACAGCGGCCCTCTCCTCTCTCTCGATTCCTTCTTCCAGAAAACACACCAAAACCCTCAACTTCTCCTCTTACAAAAAAAAACGAAACCCTAATCTTATCCCTCCTCTAGCCATCGCCGCCGTCACTCTCTCCTCACCCCTTTCTTCTCTCGCTTTTCCTGGTCCACTCTCTGCCTCTCTGAGGCGAGAATAAAGAACGCAAAGCGAGACTCTTCTTCATCCCATATCCGACGCCGGTCACCCAAATTCAAATGAAAACCCAAAATCAACCATGAGATGAAATCGACCTAGGTAAATCTCGACATGCATGTTCCTTTTCTTTTGATTTTTTGCTTTAGATAGGATTCCGACCTCTCGTCCTTTGTTTGAATCGATGGTCTTTGGGTTTGGAATTTCGGTATGGAGGAAGAAATTGAAGGAAGGGTGAAGCCTAGGAGATTACCCCGTCGACAACGACGGGTCATAGGTGCGGTTGTTATTTGCATGATAAGTTTTTGTTTTGTTTTTTATTTTATTAATCTGGGATTCTAATAATTTTTCTTCTGGGTTGAGGGTCGGATCTGGGGAAGCTAGGCGATGGAGACGCTAGCAGAGGGTGAGGATTTTTTGGTCGCCGAGATATCTGTCGGCAAAGTTCTGCCGGCGAGGTCAGGTGAGAATTTTATTTTTGTCATTTTTTTTTACCCTAATTTTGGGTCGGCACTGACCCTTATATTTTGTTGCGCAAGATCTATGAACGAACAAATTTGGGTAAGGTTCCTCTTAACTCAGATTAGTTTGGGATTGAGAGATCTAAAAACTAAAAAAATGGATTATGTTGCGGTAGATCTAATTGATTTGCAGACCTGAGTATTAGAAAATAAGGTTATGAATGAGTTTTGACAAAATGGGATTTTGGGGTTTTGATGGGTTTGATGAATGGATTCGGATGTAGTTTTTGATATATTAGAAGTTGCTAAAAATCATTTTTAATCTAATTAACATAGACTAAATTGCTTATTTTGGCTATTATAAATCACTGCCACTGCGTGTGATTTTGCGAAATTGGTATGGGTTTTAAACTCTGAAATTTATTGTGTTTGAGTGATTTTTTGTTGGATTTTGATCCAGGTTGATCCAAGGACTTCTAAAAAGTGGGTTTTGATTGTTAAAAAAAAATATGTGCTATCTAGTTTTACTTTAATTTGTACATGTATATATATGTAATGTATGGCTACCAATGAGGAAAATCTAAACATGGCAAAAAGAGTTTAAAACAAAACATCCAACTTCAGTCATAGTTAAGTTAATCGGCATAATAGTAATTGCATAGACAAAGCTGGTAATATGCAAGAGAAGATCAGTAAAGTGAAAAGGACTTCAATGAAAAGAGCTTAATCAGACTGACATGAGCAGAGCAGATCTAGGTAAATAGTATTTGACTATCAAATAGCTTGTAATGGAAAATACTCTAGTATAAATATGCAAATAGATGGATGATTAAAACAAAATAAAAGATGAAGTGTTATCCGTTTTTCTCCTTTCAAGAAAAGGCAGACATCATTGTTGGCCTTTGGGATGAGATAAGGCTGTAAGAAGTCGGTTGATCCAAGTTGACCGAAGCTGATCCGTTGACTTTGTTTGACCGGGCTGGTTGACTTGTGGACTGGGTCGAAAATTACGGGCCTGGATTGGGTTTATGGTTTGAGAATTTGGCTACTGGTGTGGGTTTGTTTCTGATAGTTTTTTTTTTCAATGTATAATTACTAAGTGTACCTTAAAGGTTATAAATTGTAATTTGTAGTTACACATTTATTTATTTATTTATTTATGTTATTGCCTTCAGAATTAGATGATCATTGCATGTATTGCTCAAACATTCAATTGATTCTTCCAGCCCAATTCGTTTGCTTCTCCAATTTTAAACCATATCCAAACTTCTAATCAACGTTTCCCAAACCATGGATTACTACCATTCGTCCATTTGACCACCTTTAGACCAATGTGACCAACTGTAAACTGAATACAATGATATTAGTATAGGTCGTGACAGCACACTATTGTTATTCTAAAGAAAGAGAATTTGGTAGCCATTAGCTACTGCTAATCCTATCTAGTACAAATGTTCAAACTATTTAAAAAGAGGACATGGAAATCGTTGGTACTTATGTATTCGCCACCGCTAATCTCAACCAACCTCGTCCAAATTTCACTTGAGTTTTCTTTTTAAGTTGGATATTCTTTTGAGTTTTGAGTAGGATGGTTGCTCCGGACAAAATGTGGTGTTTACAATAGCCAAGCTTGGATACTTGATACAGGGGCTGCAGATCACATAGTATGTTCTCTTAGCCACCTGCACAACTATAGAAGAATTCACAACGTGTACATCACCCTACCAACTAGACAAAAAGTCCAGGAAACACACACATGAACTGTCAAATGTGTTGTAGACCTGGTACTTGAGGAAGTGTTGTTTGTCCCCTAGTTTAGTTTCAATCTTGTGTTAGTAAGCAAGCTGACCAAGAATAAGTCCCTTTGTTTGACATTCTTCTCCTATGTATGTTTGATTCAGGACATGTAGCTGAGGAGGATGTCTGGTTCTGCTAAGCTATTCCATGACCTTTACCTCAAAGGCAACACCCCATAGACAACATATTTAAACACATCACAATTGCTAGCACTCAAGATTTCGACCTATGGCATTTCAAACTAGGACATGTTTTTCATTTCAAAGTCCCTCTTTTGAAACAAATTTGTACATCCATAGAGACATATAGCTCTTTGCGCCAGGTGATGTCTGTCATTTTGCCAAATGCAAAAGGTTATCTTTTCTTACTAGTTCTACTATTACTGCAAACCCCCTCCAATTAATACATGTGGATATATGACTTTACTAGAATGACCTGGATAGTTCTCCTTACAGCTAAATCATAGGCCAGACCAAAATTACAAGCATTCTGCAACCATGTTGAAAGACAATTTGACACATCTGTTAAGGGGATTAGGGGTGACCAGGGTAGAGAATTTCAAATGAGAGAGTTCTTTCAACAAACATGAATTTTCCATGAACAATCATGTGTTGAAACCCCACAATAAAACAACAAAGTTGAAAGAAAGCACCAACATATTATGGCAATTGTCATAGCCTTAAAATTCCAAGCTAATTCCTCCTGGCTTTTAGGAGGATTGTATCAAACATGTTGTCTATCTCATTTATAGAGTCCCAACTCCAGTTCTGGAAATTTTGACTCCTTTTGAAAAACTCCACAACCAACCACCTGACCTCACAAACCTCAAAGTGTTTGGTTGTCTGTGTTTTGATAGTACACTAGAAAATCACATAACAAAATTTGATCCTAGAGCTAGAAAAGGGATTTTCATTGGTTTCACTATTGGCATAAAGGGTTATAAAATTTATAACCTATCTAACCATGAAATATTCACATCCATAGATCTTAAATTCCATGAACATCATTTCCCATTTCAAACACCACTCAATACCACCACTGATTCACTTCTCTATCCTACTACCACTGATTCCATTCTGTTTGATGATAACAACCCTACCTACCTACCATCCACCCAACTCCACAAGTTCTCCTCCCTCCTCCATTTCACATCCCCACAACTCTCATTTTGACTCTGATACAAAAACATCTCCTACTTCTCCCTCTCCCTCCCCTGATCCTGACCCTGCCACCATATCCTCCCCATCATTACCACCACCACAGCCTACTAGAAAATATACCAGAACTACCAAACCACCACCCAAACTTCAAGACTACCATTGTAACCTGCTTCAGCAGATTACTTCCACCAGTCATTCTTCTATGCATCAACATCCAGGTATCACTCATTCATTATATTTTGTCATTCAATATGATAGTCGACCTCAATCTCACAAACATTTTGTGTTGAACATCTCCTGTCACAAAGAACAAGCTACCTATCAGGAGGCCATTTTGTCTCCCTACTAGAATGCTGCTATGGATGTTGAAATGCATGCTCTTAACAAAAACCACACTTGGGACATTGTTGAAGCTCCAGTAGACATTTTCTTGATTGGTAACAAGTGGATTTACATACTCAAATTCCTTCCTAATGGTTCTATTAAGAGATACAAGGCTAGGCTAGTAGCCAAAGGCTACAACCAGCAAAAAGGAGTAGACTACCAGGACACATTTGCTCCAGTAGTGAAGATGAAAACCACCAGGTTGTTCATTGCCATTGCAGCCTCCCAAAAACATGGACCAGGAAATCGGATCGTACAGGTCGATTCAAACAGAAATCAGAATAGAACCGAAACGACAAGCAATTAGTGGTAGAAATATCGTACCGACCGGTTTTATGGTTTAATTGGTTTGAAATGAAATATCGAATGGTTTTGTTCCAACCGACGGTAGGCTATTTACAAAAAAATACCACTATCTTATGCAACAAAAATGAAAAAAGCAAAAACCTGTGTCTGAACCCACCCCTAATCCCTAATCGAAGGATTTCCTTCCTTCTCCAGTTTCACCTTGTCGCTTCTCTTCTCTTCTCCAGCTCATCCCTGCCTCCAGCGATCGATGAGAAGGATGAGCTCGATAACCCCAGCGAGTCTTCCTCCCCTCCTTGACCATGGATCGCCCTTTGTCTTCTCCAGCTTATCTGATCCTTGCCTCTGGCGACCAGCAAGAAGGATGAGCTCGAGAACGTCGTCGACTTTCCAACGCCCTCATCGAGCAGGGGAGGGAGACTTGGATTAACGGTTTTCCCCGTTGGCGGTGGAGGTTGCTATCTCAAATCAGTTGTAGTCCCTTCTCCGCCTCCCGCTATTGTTTCCTCCGATTTCCGCCACGTCGCCAAGATCTCTGCCCTCCCTCTCTGACTCTCTAGTTCCTTGTTCGTAAAGGAAGTTTTGGTTTAAGGAGAGAATCATATCTAAGTTTTGACAAGAGAGAAGCATATATGAATTTGTTAAATGGAGAGAGAATGCAGAGGTAGTACTGGGAATTGGAATGTGAATTGACTAATAAAGTAGACGAAGGGTTTTCTAGATAGATTGGAAAATTGGTGCATAGTACATGAAATTACACTATATGTTTAGTCCCTGAATTTTTAAGTTATTACATTATATACCTATAGTTTTTATGTTGATATTTTATGATTTTCGATTCGGGTTTTTATATATATTCCGGTATTACTCCGGAACGATACCATGTTCTGGCCGGTACGGTTTTTTGACAAAAAATATTATAATGTTATAAAAACAGTATTTAACGGTAAAAAACGAGCGTACCATAAAACACCCTTCCAGAAACCAATTCGGTATGACGTCCTGTTCGGTTTTCTGAACTATGCCCAAAAATGGCATATTAACCAATTAGACATCAACAATGCCTTCTTACATGGTGTCTTAGAAGAAGATGTTTACATGAAACTACCTGCTGACTACAAAGCTCCTCATGGGTTCAAGAATCTTGTTTCCAAACTAAGAAAATCCCTCTATGGACTCAAACAGGCTTCTCGACAATGGTTTGCTAAATTAGTAGACAAACTACACACTCAAGATTATAGATCCAACAAGGTTGATCATTCATTATTCTACAAAGCAACCTCTACCTCTTACACTTGTGTGTTGGTGTTTATGTTGATGATCTTGTGATTGGTGGAACTGATATCAATGAGATCACTAGTCTAAAGTCATTTCTCCACCAGGAGTTCAGCATTAAAGACATGGGTGATCTACATTTCTTTTTGGGTATTGAAGTTGCACAGGACAGGACTTGAATTCACATTTCACAAAGGAAATACACATTGGAGATATTGTAAGATGTTGATATTCTTAGTTCAAAACCAGTTAGCACTCCCATGGACTACAAAACTCATTTATCAACTACTCACACAGACCCCCTATCCAAATCTAGAACACAACAGACATTTGGTTGGTAAATTGATCTATCTCACAACCACAAGGCCAGACATAAGCTATGCTACACAACATGTTAGTCAATATATGTCTAATCCTAGCCATACTCACTACAAGGGTGTTACCAGAATTCTGAGGTACCTGAATAATGCTCCTTCCACTGTTCTTTTCTTCTCTTACTCTTCATCTTTGCAATTGAAAGCCTCCAGTGACCCTGGTTGGGCTGATTGTGCCGATACTCATCGATCAATTACTGGGTATTATGTCTATCTGGGTTCCTCCCTCCTCTCTTTGAAGAGCAAGAAGCAAACCACAGTCTCTCGATCTTCCTGTAAGGCAGAGTACAGAGCTCTTGCCTACACCTCCTGTGAAGTGCAATGGCTTCTTTATCTCCTCCAAGACTTCTGGATTGCTCATCCTCAATCGGTAACTCTCTACTATGACAACCAACCTTCCATCTAAAACGCTTAAAACCCCACCTTCCACGAGCGCACCAAACATATCGAACTTGATTGTCACTCTTCATCAGCGAGAAACTTCAGGCCAACATCATCCAAATTCTTCATGTCTCAACAATTCAACAACCACTTTCTCTTTGCTCCTCTCCAAGCTTGATGTTCAAGAATGCTGCCCACCAGCTTCCCGGGGGGGGGGGGGGGGGGATATCAGGGGATAATTCAAAAGATTTCAATCTCCCGCATTCAGAACAAAGAGAAGGAAAACAGAGTTGGAGTGACGTCGTTTCCGGTGTGAATTAAAAGCCTCAACAACAACAACGTACTAAGAAAACGACATCATTCCAAGTCTCAATGACTGCTCCACTTCACTTCTACATTTCAGTACCCAATGTTATGTTTTCACGCACTTTTCCTTTTTTGGCATGTACTTATTTATGAAGCAGCCTTGTCTTCTACTGCTACTTCTTATCTAGCTATATAAGCAAAGAGAACAGTGAGATGAGATAGGTTTTTAGTCTCAATAAATTACAAAACGTTGTTACAGATATCCACGGAAACCCTAACCGTAAGCCCAACAACGGTTCAGATTTAGCAGCGTCGGCAATCACCTCCGTCGTCGCCTCTTTCTCCCTTATGTTCGGTGGCTGCGGTTGCGCCTCCGCCTTTCTGCTTCGTAGAGACGTGTATCACTGCTGAGATCCAACGGAATAGAAATCGCTTTGTGTCACTGCTGGGATGAGACGGTTACGGTAATGGGTCATTTATTTATTTATTTTATTATTTTTGTATTCTTGATATCTTCCGTTTGAAAACGGAAACAATGTGCCCAAAGCAGGAGTGGGAGTTTCCAACCCCTACCTACACACACAAATTAGGTACGTGTTTCAATTTTTACTTATTATTTTTGCTTTTCATCGTTAACCAAAAGAAGAAGAAAAAAACATAAACGACCTTTTTGAGTCCGTTCATTTGCCCGTACATGAAATTGCCGACGTGCGACTCTTAATTATCACCTATGATTATGATGTTATCTATGCGTCATGCATGCACCCATTCAGGGTCTTGAGCGGTTTGGTTACATCCTGTTTCTTAAGTAATAATTATATAGTATTCGCTCCTCTAATATGTATGCATAAGTAGTTGTAATATAATGCATATGTCTTTTTTTCACTTGACTACCTTCTATTTTTTTATGCAAAAGTTTTCATACAATTGGTAGCATATTTCATGTTTGTCTAATGGCAAAGTCGGCAATGAGACTGTTTATGGAACTCATGGCTCTTCGTGATGTCATTCATGAGTGTCTATCTTTTTTTTTTTTTTCTTACTTTATGTTTTTTTGGTGTTGCACATGTGATCTCTCATATGGTCAACGCGATGGGTTCGGCTCACGCTGTCGCTTTGGGAGGTGCCATCTTGTGGAAGTTTAGGTGTACACGTTCATCTCTCTAACGTGTTTCGTTTCGCGCCATGTAGGTGAAAAATGGTTGCCCATATCGTGACAAAATAAGTCCTTTCATTGATGGCTAA